ATTCCATACTTTTCAGGCTTGTATTTCATTAAGTTAGTTGTTTCTTCCAACTTCGCACATGCACACCAAATACCAGAAAATTTTCTTTGGGTTACTGTTAATTACCATAAGAGTACATGCAAACTTTAAGGCACTATAATTTTTCAAAAAATCCATGAATTGATTTAAGATTTTGCAGATAGCTGTTTAATAGTAACAGGCATCTATGATAACAAATTCAACATGCTAGCATTGTTTAAGTGTATATATAGCCCATACATTCTTAATCGCAGTTTCGTTGGTAGGTTTTTACGTCTCGTTAATTTATAGATTTTTTAATAGTAAACGTGCGAGATTAAAATTCACAGAATTAAAGTAGAAACGCTATTTAAAAAGCTGAAGTATTTATCCTGAATTGGAAATCGTTTATAAGCTAGTCATTTAAAAAATGAAAATTTCTTTCTCCTCGACTTGACTTACTATTCATAGAAGACGTGTAACTCGCAAACAGCTACTCAACGCACCGAGCGAACGCAATGAAATTTCGTCATGCACCGGCGTCAGGATCACCGTACGTACCAGGTAATCTCCTTCCCGGTCCAGGATAGGTTTAAAGCGCGCCACGCCGGCGAAAGCAGCCGTTATACTAGCTACTCGGCTACATAATTTTGTCACGGCTTACGCGAACGGCGAACGTGTCCCGAATCCCGCATCTATTATGAATTCGCAAGATTCATCGTATCGGTATACAGTACACTACCGTTCACAAGTATCCGACTAGTTAATAAAAAATACAGATCTACAAGATTTAATGAATACAAATCAAATTAATTTCGTAACAGCGTATGCACAATTGCGTTAGAATGAGAAATTAATTATTTTACAGTGACCTCTTTCTGACAAATTTTATTCTTACACAAAATGATTAATTAATTAAATTCTGTCTACAGTTTATGGATCAGCATGTATATTTAGCTCTTTTTACAGCAAATGACATGAAAACTGAAATATTGTAATTCAATTAGGTGATGGATTTATACATTTTTTATTTGAACAAGCTTGTCGTAAATGTTCATATAAAACTAGCTTTGTCAATAAATAGATTATTAAGACCGTCTAATACTTATGGACGGTAGTGTAGCTGGTGTACGAATTCGATCAGACTACCTGGCCGTCGGTTCGCTTGAAAAACGTGGCATGCAAGCTAATTATCGGATTGACAGTGAAGGCTCACCCGACTCTGATCTGGATTCCGGGTGCGGATCGCTTAGAACTTGCCGACTCCCTGATGCCACCGAGGAGTCCTGTCCCTGCGCAACATCCAGAGAATAAGTTTTTCGGCCAGTTGCACTCGTAGACGTTATCGGCTCCTGCCTACGTTTCCCGGGTGAGGAGTAGATCATAGAACTGATTCTGTGATCGATACTCGTTCGTATCCTCTAATATTAATATCTTATTAGCTCGCATAGGAGATTAATTAAAATATAACTAGAAATCGAGCATTTCAATTTATTAGAATCGTGCAAATAAATTTGAGAGGGAGCTTTTTTATAATTATTAACTACAATTAAGCAATTCAAAGTTTTCTGATAAATAATATTGGATAAAAGAAATCGACACTATCACACTATAGACAAGAAGTCTCTGTTATCTAACTTTGAATAAAGGTATCATGCTAACAATTATTATTCCAAATCACGTTGGCTAACTAGCGGGAGACAGAGAGGTACGTGTACGGAGTATTTATACGAAAATTTTCCAATTTATCTTTGGCCGTCGGCAGTACGCGGCTCGAACGAATTAAATGGAATCTATCGATCTCTACCGTGGTTTCATCGCGGCGTCCACTCGAGTCCATTTGCGGCGACCTGTCATTTCCGCTTTTCATTCTCGCCCGTTATCGATAATCCATAAGTCCCTTTGTGATAATCGCAATCTCGACGGATACGGAGACCGGTTACCCTTCCCCCCCTCTCGTGTGTACGTGTTCGAGCTGTCAATAGATCAATATCTTTTTCAACGGATGCGTTTGACATCGGGCCTGCTGCAGCCCAACTCGCGAGCTCTTTCTTCGCTCGACGATATCGACGAAACGCGTATTCATAATTATTGAAACTTCACAATAGGCGGGACATTACATGACCATTTCGTATTACCAGAATTCTGCAGAATCCAAATTAAACAGAACTACCTGCTCTTAAAAAGAGATTATATGTTAATTTNTAGTACAATCTTTAGCAAAAATTGCTACCGGAAGATAATTATAATTATTAACTACAATTAAGCAATTCAAAGTTTTCTGATAAATAATATTGGATAAAAGAAATCGACACTATCACACTATAGACAAGAAGTCTCTGTTATCTAACTTTGAATAAAGGTATCATGCTAACAATTATTATTCCAAATCACGTTGGCTAACTAGCGGGAGACAGAGAGGTACGTGTACGGAGTATTTATACGAAAATTTTCCAATTTATCTTTGGCCGTCGGCAGTACGCGGCTCGAACGAATTAAATGGAATCTATCGATCTCTACCGTGGTTTCATCGCGGCGTCCACTCGAGTCCATTTGCGGCGACCTGTCATTTCCGCTTTTCATTCTCGCCCGTTATCGATAATCCATAAGTCCCTTTGTGATAATCGCAATCTCGACGGATACGGAGACCGGTTACCCTTCCCCCCCTCTCGTGTGTACGTGTTCGAGCTGTCAATAGATCAATATCTTTTTCAACGGATGCGTTTGACATCGGGCCTGCTGCAGCCCAACTCGCGAGCTCTTTCTTCGCTCGACGATATCGACGAAACGCGTATTCATAATTATTGAAACTTCACAATAGGCGGGACATTACATGACCATTTCGTATTACCAGAATTCTGCAGAATCCAAATTAAACAGAACTACCTGCTCTTAAAAAGAGATTATATGTTAATTTAAATTAAGGGTCACTAAAATATAAATTATATTAATAATTAATGGAAGCATAAACTGTTAGATTTTAATCTCCTGTTAAAGATGTTAGATTACATTTAACTTCGGGCACGTGTGATAGATATATAATAAGAAAAAAGCGAAGGAGACGTGGAGACGTTTCCCGATATCGATTTGGCAATAGAAACCGTTCGGATAATTCTTCGGTTAAGGGGTAGAAATGAACGAAGGGTGAATAATGTCTATAGCGTCAAGATGATATCGCCGACGTAACGTTCTGCGGCGGACAGATAGGAGTACCCGGGGGTCGATCGAAAACGCGAAATATAATAGTCCGCATTGGGTACTTTTGTTCCCTGATCGAGTAATCGAGTATTCTGGTCGAGTAACAAGTGGTGCACGCGTCATGTCACGTGTCAGACGCAGCGATCACTACACACTACCTACTGTAGTAGGATAGGTATATAGCTCCCGGCTATGACGCCGTTTACCTGAAAACAAAGAACGCGAGTATTCCTAGTGGATGGAATCCCGGGATCTCTCCTCGCGATTTCCATTATTTCAATTCTTGATATCAATTTGACCTACCCGTCTCTAGTTTCTAATCGCTTTCCCGTTTAATCGAACGGTGCATTGATTTCAAAAGTACAAATAGTCTCGTCGACGATCGTAATGAAAGAATAATCGTAGATAAAAAAAATATAACTTTTATTATTGCACGTACATCGAGCTTGACTCAATTAAATAATATTCGTCATAAAAAAAAACGTAGCACCGAGTTCAACTTCTTTCGCACTCGCCGTTCTCGTCACTTTGATTAACACCCACGTATTGCGCGGCGTTGCGCTTCGCGTCCTGCCGCCTTTTCACGTTCTTCGTTAACACGGTTATGACAAAGCCGACGAGGAGCGTGACGAAAAGTCCCACGTGTACCGGTACGTCGCCGTACTCCTCTATCAGACGGCCCATTATCAAAACCAGTACCATCCCGTAAAGGTTGTTAGTCACGTTCAAGATACCCCCCGTCGTTCCTTCCGACTCCGGATATGTGTACTCCGCGCACATCTCGTATCCTAAGGCGAAGTAGCCGACCATGAAGTACCTAAGAAAGAGTAAATGTACTCCTCGTGTCGGACACTCCAATAGAAATTCGATGCCATGTACATTTTTCCCTAAAGCTTCCTAAAATCTTCACATTTTATAATCGTTTGATCTTCTATTAAAAAAGAATTCAATCATTGGTTTAATTTTAATCCATAAGATTGAAAGTGGAATAGTTTTTAAATTACGATACAAATGAAAGTACAGTTTACTCTGAAATATTAGTTTTTCTTTTTTGTAAAATGACTGCAGATTTATGCGGAATTTGGAAGCATTCGCGCGAGGCTTTGACGTTAATAAAAATGGTTTACGTGTAATATTACCCTAGAAAGATGGCCGACAGATAGACCATCCATTTTATTTCGAAGTACGTGGACAGCGAGAAGAATACCTGGCCGCACAGCGCGAGGAAGTACACGATTACGGTAGTTTCCCTGGAAATACACGTGCCGGAGATTTCATTATACGACACGGTGTACATAGTAGAAAAAAGTTTGCGAAGCGAATGAGAGAAAAAATTGACTGCTGTCCAAAACATACAGTGTATGCATATCGTGCGATCGATCCATCGAACTAGTTCCTCCCCAGTTTTTAGAGCAGTAGAATACGTTTAGAGTAGAAGACGATGAGTAATGATTTATTGAAATATTTTTTATACTAATTCGTAATCGACAGAATTCTCTATTAATCAATACTTTGAGAAAGACAGTTTCTCAAGGCGTTATAATAAAATCGATGAACAATAGAGCAAAAAAAAAATAAAAGAAAATAGTTTAACATTTCTCTTACTTGTATTTGTGCGTCTTATCGACAATTACTCCAAAACTGACGGAACCCAACATTCCCATGAGAACCATTGCTAAACCGATTCTACCCGCGTCTTCCTCACCATTCTGTAAAATATTAACGTGTTCCGGAATTATATCTTCTTATTATATCACATTTTAATGCTAACTCTTCTTAGAATTTCATATTCATAGAATCTATTAATTGGATGCACTTATAAATATTTATTATGCTATTTTAATTTTCATTAAGCTCACCTCGAAATGTGTAACGTATATTTGATTTAATAACGTTCCCGTCACGTTTACCACTCCAATCCCTAAACCGTATGAATTACAGAGCAATAGGAATTGCTTGTTTTTACACAATTTCTTAATTGAGTCTAGAACACTTTCGTCGAGCTCCAGTTGAGTCAGTTTTTGCATCGCTCGTGTTTCGCTCGGTGGCAGTTTCGGATCATCTTCAAATACTATTCCGAAAGCATGCATTAAAAGTTTTAAATCATTATAATTAATGATATAAATCTATAAGACGTCTGAATATCCATCAAGTGTCTTCCTTAGAACTTACGTATTACGATGAATAAAAACACAATTGTAATCAAGATAGCTTGATGCCAAAAAAGACGGGACAGACCAACACCGATATCGTCTAAGTTTTCATGATTTTTTACAATCATCGGTGTGAGCAAGAAACATATCGCTACCCCCATTTGATTACCGAAAATGCTTAACGATGTAGCCGTCGATACTTGATTAGAGTCGAACCACTGCGCTGCCAAACGTCCGGGCATCATCAAAACTAGTGTCTGACATATTAAAAAAAAAAATTGATACTCGTTAGAATCATTCGTAATTACTTATATTTGATTCTAATGAAACTGACAATTGATCAATTTAATCG